AAATAAAATCTTTAAAAAAAAAAAAAAAGAATTGGAAGGGGAAAAAGTTCTTTTTCCATCAAACAAATTATAAAATTAAAACTAGTACAAAATAAATGTTAACATTCTCATATGGATCCAGAAAAATAAAATGTTGCTCAGCTTTTCACATTTGTACCTAAAATCCCAAAATATATAGGATTTATAAATGTTTGTGTTGTTGAATAATATAAAGAATGCATAAGTTTGTCAATTTGGTTCAATAAAAAAAAAGAAGCAATTAAGCAAACAGACTCTGGAGCCAGCCAGACTGCCTGGAATGAAATCTTGACACTGCCATTTACTAGATGTGTCACTTTGAGCAAGCTAAGTTACCTTTTCTGAGCCTCAGTTTCCTTATTCATACACTGGGGAGAATAATACTGCCTAACTCATTAAATAATATAATAAAGCACCAACAGTGGATGGCATAAACGCTGTATGTTGTAACTGCTTTTATTATTATAAAACAACATAAATGTCTGGTGTGCTTTTATTATGGTTATCATTCTTCTAGTAAAGTGGGCAATATCATTTAATAGCCACTATGGATAACTTGATAAATTAGAGAACGCCCAAATATCAATGACTTCACAAATATCCCCTTCAAACAGCTTACCAAACAGAATAGCCAATGATCAAATCAGCTAACATTAACTGTGAAAGATTTTCTAACTTTTTGCCAACCTCTTCAAGGTCAGGGGACAGTATAAAGGAAATAGGGTACCCAGGGAGGTGATAGTTTAGGAAAGCCAGGCACAACTAAAGAGTTACAAACTCCACAAGCTAATATGGGCAAGCATCAGGCCAGAAATCCAGGCAGGTAAGACAAAGGCTGAAAAGCACAAAGAACTTATTGTGGTAAAGATGGAAGAACAATACAATGGAGAGACACATGCCCAAGTTCTAATCCTGGTTCAGAAAGCAACTAGGTATGTTGTCTTAGGAAAAAAAATCTCCCTTCTGACTTTATTTGCTTCAGGTAAGACAAACTGCCTCTCAGGGTCATATATAGCCCAAAGGTCAATTGGTGTACCAAAGTTTTTAAATTTAAATTAAAAAAAAAAAATTAGCAAGGCTTTCTGAATACACTACAGGTGGGACAGCTGCTGTAAAATAGGAAGAAAGTTTAAAATTTTATTCTTGTCAAAAAGTCTTCTTTTTTCTCCTTTCAAGAGAAGGTTGTCAAAAGTTTGTACTCTTTTTCAAGTATGCCTGATCTCAACTTTCTGACTGAGAAAGCAATTATAAAAAATATTTAGAGTAGGGGGGAAATGAATGAGTTTTAATTTTCAATGGGGGGTCATTAAGACGACAACTGTGAAAAGAAAAAAGAAAATAAGTGTGAAAGATCTGAAGGTGAATGAACTGGCCATTTGGATATCTGGAGGGAATACACCGGAAAGTGGAACCGGCCAGTGCAAAAGCCCTAAGCCAGGAGGGTGCCTGGAGAATAGAAAGAGTGTGACTACAGTTGGGTAAACAAATCAAAGAATAGTAGAGGGGAGCCTGGGTGGCTCAGTCAGTTGAGCATCTGACTTGATTTCCACTCAGGTCATGATCTCAGGGGGTCCTGGGATCCAGCCCCACCTCAGGCTCCCCACTCAGTGTGGAGTCTGTTTGAATTTCTCTCTCTCAATCTCCTGCCCCTCCCCTCCCCTGCTCTCTCACTCTCTCTCTCTCTCTCTCTCTCTCACACTCTCTCTCTAAAATAAATAAAATTGTTTAAGAAAAAAAAAGAAAGAATAGTAGAAAAGAAGTCAGAAAAGTAACAATGGGTCAGATCACATAGGGTCGTGTAGGCCACTAAAAGGGACCTGAACTCTGAGAATGGGCAGCTTTGGGGAGGCTTGATACAAAAAAAGAGACAGGATCTGATTTATATTTTAAAAGGATCACTATGGGAGATGTACTAAGAAGACTGTAAAGGTTGAGAGGCAAAGGAAGGAGGGAAAGGAAAATTAAGTGTACAGAAGAGAGATGACAACTCACACCAGTAATGGAGATGATAAAAAGTGACCAAATCTTGGATACATTTTAAAGCAGAGCCAATGGATGATTTTTTTTTTTTAAGATTTTATTTATTTATTTGTCAGAGAGAGAGAGTACACAAGCAAGGGGAGTGGCAGGCAGAGGGAGAAACAGGCTTCCTGTTGAGCAAGGAGCCTGACACGGGACTTGATCCCAGGGCCCTGAGATCATGACCTGAGCCGAACGCAGACGCTTGACCGACTGAGCCACCCAGGTGTCCCCAATGGATGATTTCTTGACACCCTGGATGCAGTGAAAGAGAAAGAGAGACCTTAAGGATGTGTCAAAGATGTTTTTAGTCTAAGCAAATAGGATGCCAGATCAGCCATCAACTGAGAATAAAAAGGCTACAGTTGAAACTGATTTGGGGAAAAGATTATGAAATGAGTTTTGGATATTTTGGATCCTGAGACACTCAATCTGTACAAATCTAGACTCATAGGATTTTATCTTCCTACAGATGTGACAAGACCTATAAACATGAACTAGATATTTCAGATTCAAACTGAAAACATCAGCTCTGCAGATGACAAGTGAAGATAGCCTAAGGTTGAACTCTGAGCTCAATGGAATCAGCTTTTTCACTATTTGGGAGGATGAAGTCAACTATAGAAGAAATTAACAGATATTAATTCATAAAAGCCACGCTTTAAATTCATCTGGCTGCCTCAATATATATCTGAATATCGATGTGGCTCAAGGAAGAAGGGCTAGAACTGAAAGTGTACTGTGTTTACCCAGAAGATACAGAACCCCTGGAGTTGAGAGACATATATATGAATCTCAGAACACGTCTAAAAATTTTAACTGTGTGACCAAATTCTGAATATATGGGTTCATCCAGCTCTGTGAAAATATAATCTTATTAATAAACTAGTAAAATCAAAGATTTAATTATTTAAATCATTTATTAATTCACTCTATCATAAACCTCATCACTATATAATTCTATAATATTCTAATTAGAATTTTACTCAATTATTAAGATTACATCTTCAAGTATTTACAGATGATTATGTATGTTGTT